TCATGAACAATCATACCCTATCACCTTTTCGAACCATCTTAAGGCATATCAACAGTCAAGCCCACAATTTGCAACATATACACAATCATCAGCATAAGCCAGGTCCATATCGATTAGGGCAAGTCAATAATATCATATAGCAGTCCAGGGTTCATCATATAGCACAAAAGTCCATACACCCCTAATCATGCCATTCTAGTTCACCTAGGTCAATTCTAAGCATCAATATAATTATCGTGATACGACAAACCAGGTATGTCGTGCTAATCCCTCACCAGTTCTGGTAGTTCAAACACTGGTTCTAGCCTCCCGTACTAAAACGTCAATTTCACGAACGAACACCGAATTAAAATCCGAGACCGCCCTAATATCCCCTGCAGTATCCCCGTCAATATTAGTTCCAGGCTCCGGGTCAAATTCTTGATAAAAATACATCAAACCCTGGCCGGAGCTAAATTCAGCGGTTTGGACCCCGGCCTAAATAATAGCCGAAATTCAGGGATTAGAACTAGAGGATTGATTACCTCGCTGCAGGAAGCTCGTATATGAAATTTGGGCTCAATCCGGCTTCCGGATACTCCGAAACCCTAATTTGGCTTATCGGGAATTTAAGAAATTCCTGAACCAAAAACTCGTTTTAAAGCTCTAAATCGATAAATCATGATGTATAGATGAATTAGGCATTACTTACGGGATTTTTGGATCACTAGGGCTCAAGATTGGAGCTTTGGAATTTTTCCACAGTCGCTCCCTGCACTTCGCTCGCTCTGCTTCTCTCTCGGTCCGAAATGGAAAAATGACGATGGTGATGAGAATAAAAGGGACGGGGGAAAGGGTTTATATATTTATATATGCCCGTCCGCTTAATTAATATATATATATATATAATATTAATACGTATACTTATCTGATCGATCGATAATCCGATTTTCGTCGAAATAGTGTCGAAATGCTCGATTTTAAATCGCGAACTTTCTAGCGATCGAAATATGAGTTTTGCCGTAACGGGATGTTACAGCTTCCATCCCTGAATCCTCTGCAGAAGCTTTTCCTCTAAGAACCGAAGAGTATCTGCCTTTGACCAGGCAACTAGGGACGGAAGTCCCAAGTACTTATCTTGGGTCCCAATCGCCCCCACCCCCAGAATCCCCGCCATTGCGGTTTTCTCCTCTGCTGAGAAGTTGGCACTAAAGCATACAACAGACTTCTCCATATTCACCTTCTGTCCACTTAGTGCCTCATACTCTTTCAACACATATAGGAGGTCATTGCACCCCTGAACCGACGCTTTAATAAACAAGTAGGAGTCATCAGCAAAAAAACATATGAGATACCCATGGAGCCCGCGGACTCACACGAATACCTTCAATTTCCCCTCTCTCGCTCGCCTGACGAAGCAAGGCTGCAAATCCCTCTGTACAAAGGACAAATAACAATGGAGATAATGGGTCACCCTGTCGCAATCCCCTAGAGGATTGGAAAAATCTCGAAGGTTTCCTATTCATCATGACCGAGAAACTCGCAGTAGAGACACATTCTCGAATCCAACTAATCCACAATGGGCTAAAACCCAATTTCTTTAAGATCGCAAGTAAGAACGGCCAATCCACTCTATCATAGGCCTTTTCCATATCAACCTTCAGAGCTAAGTAACCCTTCTTACCTTTCTTCTTAATTTTCAAATAGTGCATTATTTCATGGCCAATAAGAACATTATCAACTATTTGTCGATCCCGGATGAAAGCATTCTAACCAGGGGAAACAATATCTGGTAGACAACTCGCCATCCTTTCAGCCATAATTTTCGATATGATCTTATACACCACTTGACAATGACTAATCGTTCTCAATTGGCGCATATTTTCCACTGTATCCACTTTTGGGATCAACGTGATCCACGTGTGATTGAAGCTTCGTAAGATACGCCCATTCACAAAGAATGATTGTACAGCGGCAATCACCGATGGCCCAACAATGTCCCAAAAACTATTAAAAAATTTGCCAGTAAATCAGTCCGAACCTGGAGCCTGCGTAGATCCTATAGAAAAGACCATACGCCGGATCTCCTCCGGTGTCACTTCTGCCGTGAGGCTAATGTTCATCACCTCTGTGACCCTCCGATCAATGGGAAAGGCATTCACCTTCTCCCAAACATCAGTCTCCTCCGTCCCCGACGTAAATAGGTGTGACTAGAACCCGACCGCTAGATTAGCTTTTGCATCCTCTTCCTCCACCCACTCGCCATCCTCGTTCTGTAATCTCTCCACAAAATTCCGACGTCTTCGTGCTCTCGTGACAGTATGAAAATAATATGAATTTTGACCCCCTACCTTCAACCATCGAACCCTGGATTTTTTACGCCAGTATTTTTCCTCCTCTGCCCATTTTATCGTGAGGTCCCGCTCCAAGTTATTGACCCGTTCCTAGTCGATAGGGTATTCTTCCTTTATCGCAGCTATTTCAGTCTCCAGAGTCCGAATTTGTCTAGCTGAATTAAAAGTACCCTTCCGGCTCCAACTATGGAGTCGGTGTCGCAATTTCTTCAAACGAGTCCACAATTGGTACATCGGGGAGCCCTGGACCTGCTCCTCCCAAATCTCCTCCACCATAGGCCTCACCTCCGGGTTCTCCGCCCAACGGGCATCAAATTCAAAAGAGGGATCTCGCCACTCTCATGTGGGTCTTATCAGATACGATCAGGGCCCGGTGGTCTGATCCGAGGTCCGTTCCATGGTGCACCATCGCCTTCGGGAACTTCTCGACCCAACGTTCCGAGGCTAATGCTCTATCCAATCGCTCCTGAATACACTCATTTCCCATTCGCCGATTTGACCACGTAAAAGGATTCCCTCGAAACCCCAAATCATGGAGTCCTAGCCCATCAACAAACGATCGAAATGTTTGAGAATGAGCTGGGACCCACGGAACACCCCCCATTTTTTCCTCGGAGGCAAGGATTCCATTAAAATCCCCTACCATCAAATATGGTTCTTGCAATCCCGCACAATAGCTGCGTAACGTATCAAACTGGAGAACACGATCCTGCTCGCGACAACTAATATAGACAAACACTACTACTACTTTTATTCCATTAACTTCCAAACCGACAAAAATAAAAAAGACGAACTAGACAGCACTGAGGCACCGCTCCCAGGGGACCACGCTACTGCTAACCCTCCTGATGAGTCAACAGCATCAACTAAATGAAAATCAGAAAACCCAAGACCTCGCAAACTACGAGACACCACCCTACGACGCGAACGCGTTTCCGAAAAGAAAACAACATCAGAATTATTGACACGAATGACTCCTAAGATCGACTGGAATGTGATGGACGGCCCAATCCCACACACATTCCAGGCTAACAGACTCATTTATCGCCTTGGGGCCACTCTCGGCTGGCTTCCTCAACCGCAACATTCCTGTCTTCTATCTCCTCACCACTTGAGTCCTCCAAGCATAACTTCTTCACCGGTGTCGGGTCTTCTGTGAGGTCCGCAACCATTGTCGCAGCTCTCTTCTTTTCTTCTGCTTCATCCGGTTCCGGCGCCACCATCCGAAAGGCCACCTGTTTCATACTCTCATCACCCCCCCTTTATCTCTTCTGCTGCCACCCCCATATGGTTCGGCATCAATTCTTTCTCCCCTTCTTTAGACTCCTGAAAGCCCACCTCTCTTTCCAACTGCTTTTCCTTCTCCCCTCCATCAACCACTTTCTTCCCTTTCTCCTTCCCTATTGCCTGCTCATTCCCCACCCTCAGAACCTTGTCCTTACCCTTTTTCGGCTCTCCATTTTTCCCCGCCACTGCACCACCCTGCTTCCTCATAGGTATTTTTATTTTAATTAATTCTTTTGACCCTCCAGCCCCGCTTTTTATAGCCTCCATCTTCGTATCTCTTGCTTCGCCTCCTTCTTTACGGGACACGACAGTATCCACCTCCATCTTCTCCTTCCGAGTCCCCGCTTCTTTCTTCGGCATGACAGAGCTCCCAGCGCCGTCTCTCGTCCCTGCTTCTTTCCTGGACACGACTGTATCCACCTCCATCTTCTCCTTCCGAGTCCTCGCTTCTTTCTTCGACATGGCAGAACTCCCAGCGCCATCTCTTGTCCCTGCCTTCCCGCTCGGCTCCCCACATCCAGCCCCCTGCTGTCCTCCCTTTCCTTTTACCACACCACCAATATCCCCTTGATTTCCCCCTATCACCAGCTGTTAGAAACAAAGTTTCTAACGATTTTGGGATTGGGGAAAATAGCTGGATCAATTAGGGATTGACCAAGCTAGGGATTGGGAATAGGGGAATTTAGGAAGAAGAGAGGGAAAGAGGGCTGCTGCCGAGCAGCAAAGGAAGAAGAGGGAAGAGGGGTTCGGTGCAGGAGGGAGGAAAGAGAGAGGGAGGGATTAGTTTTAGGTTTTCTGTAATTGATTGCTTAATGTCAAAATAACACCCTACTGCAGAATATATAATCCGCCAATTCTCTAACTCCTACCCACATAATAAAATGTAACAATCGACTCCCTGCTTATAGCTAAATATTCCAAATAATCCCCCAATTATCAAAGACCGACAATAATACGAAATAACAAAAAGCTGCAAATTATTTGTTTCTAACATCCCCGCCTCCTTGGGAAGCAACCTTGTCCTCAAGGTTGAAGCTTCTCTTGCTCCGCTCCTGAGTCCTCTGCAACCTCATCCTCTGCCTCGTCTTCCCATCGCCCCACCAGGAACATCAAATCAGGCTTCCCGCATTTGTGGCCAAAGGTGAACCGCTCGTCACAGTTAAAATATTTCCCTTCTCACCTCTTCTGCTCGATCTCAGCAGGAGATACTCTAGTAAATCCCTTGGGTGGTGCCCTAGGTCCTGCTCGAATGGCCGCGGAGGGTGGACCAGCCGTCGCACCCCCTCCCGTGCTCGGACCCGGCGCCGATGCCTCTGCCCCGCTGCTCGGCCCGCTACCACTTCCTCCTCCGCTCGGCTTCTGATAACGGCCGATCACTCCCCGCCAGTTAGCCAGTTCCTCCTCCTTATTACCTGCAAGACGGAAAACAGCTCGAAGTGAATCTGGCTCAAATACCCGGACCGCCGTTGCAATCTCCGGACGGAGTCCCGCCATGCATAGGCCCACCAATGTCTCCTCCGGAACGCCCTTGCATTGGTTACCCAATTTGAAGAACTCATCCCTATACTCTGCCACCGTCCCTGTCTGGCGCAGCTTGGCCAACTGCTCGGGAGCCCATCCTTCAGACTTGCCGAACTGGTACCTCAACTCCTCCTTAAACATAGGCCAAGTGATTAGCGTATGAGCTTCAACATAGGTCCGCTCCATCCACTCCCACCACTGTAGTGCATCTCCCTCCAAGTAGAAGGACGCTAGCTGAGCCTTCCGTTCTTCCCTAGTGGGATGGTTCTTGAACCATCGCTCCGCGGAATATATCCACAGACCTGCATCTTCACGACCATTGAATTTTGAAAACTCAATGGTAGGGGGTTTAGCTCTAGACACCATGTCATCTTTGTCCTCACCTCCTCGTGTGTAACCAGGGTGCCTTCCATAGCTTTGGGCCCCACTGTGATAGTGCTGCGAGAATCGCGGTTCCCCTTCATAGCCCCAGTCGTCCTCTTCCTCCTCCTGATATCTCATTCTTCGGCCTAACTAGTTCCTCTGCCTTTGTACACCCGTTCCCGCCCTCATCAGTTCCTTGCCGGTGCCTCGTTGATTCCCAAAAGGAGGGTGAGATCCGCTGTAGTCGTCGAATTGGCCTTGTTGGGCTGGGTAACCCCTGCTGCCCGCTCCTCCTGCGCGTCCCGCCGGCTGACCCAATTCAACCAGGGTTCGACCCGGTCCGGTCCGACCGGGTTCGACCCGCCCGCTGGGGGCCCGGCTCGGCCCAGGTCGCCCCGGCCCGATGGGCTTCGGCCCATGGCGCTCGGCCGCCCCACCTTCCAGCCGCGGCCCGCCTTCCACCCCGGCTCGGCCCACCTGACTGCCTTCGTCCCTTCTATAATCCGCCCCCGACCCATACAACTCGTTGGGCCATGGCCCATAATCGAACTCCTGCTCCAGGTCCAGCAACCCTTCCTCGTCTAGGCCCTCCTGCAGATCCGGTTCCACGTACTCGGCCATCTTGGCCTTGCCACGTGCGCGTGCCACCTCCTGGGCCGATGGGGTCGGTAACAGCCCATCCTTGACTGTTGGGCCGAAAGAGACTTGGCCCGCACGCGAGACGGGTGGCCGCCACCGAACCCTTCTTCTCAACCGAGTCGTCTGCCTCCTTGTCCGTCGTGACCCGCGCGGCGCCTTGGCCGCCGAGCGCCCCTATCGAGGCGGAGCCCTCCCCCGGCGCGTCTCCCTCCATCTGCGGCTGCCCGCCGCCGCCAGCTCCGGCCCCGCCTTTCTTCCAAGCCTCCGTCAAGCTGCTCACCTGCCCCTGCAGCGCCTCCACCGCCGCCAACAATGCGTCAAGGGTGCGACCGTGATCCCTAGCCTTCACCTGCAGCCCATTCAACTCCTCCTCCACCCGCTCTTGCCTCTCTGCTTGCGTCTCCATGACGTTCCTCAGCTCCTCGATCTCCATAAGATCCTCCACCACTCCACCGAGCCCTCCGTCACCCGCATCGGTGCCTTTATCGGCTGCCTGAGCCGCCTTCTCTGCCACTGATAGACCGTCATTTCCACATGTTTTTACCCCTGTTCTTACACCGTTTGAGGTTTTGATTCTCGTGTTTTAGGCCGATTTCACGCTAGGTTGTGCTTGTTTGTGTTATTTCAGGTCCTAGTACGTGAATGAAGGCTTAGGAGCGAGTCTGGGGTCGATTGGACGAAGAACGGACGAATGGCGAGCTTTTTGGGGACTCGCACGGCCAGACCATGGAGACGCACGGCCGTGCAAAGTGCAATTATGGCCGTGCGCCTCTGGCCGAGGACATGCACAGGCTGGCCGGGATCCTTGCACGGCCGTGCACCTGGCCGTGCAAGAAGGCTGAGATCGAATTAAGTGAAACGGCGCGTTTCAGGGTGCACGGCCAGAATGGTGATGTGCACGGTCGTGCACCTGGCCGTGCAACTCGGGAAAGCCGGTTTTAAAGCCTAATCCGAGCCAGAAGTGGGAGAATCGTGTTTTCAGAGCAAAAACAGAGCCCTGGAGAGAGAAAGTGCGAAGAACACACCCTAGAAGCTGTCTTAGAGCTGGATTTCATCGAATCGAGCCTGGAGATCGTCATAGGAGTGGAAATCATCGTCCCGGAGCAGATTATCCTCATCGTTATGAGTATGACTAATCCGATTCTTGTTTTCTCTTCTCTCTCTATGGAGTAGAACCCTTCTCTCACTTGGGTATGAAGAACCCTAGTTCCTTGTGTTAGGGATTTGATTGTAATGACTTGGGATGATATTACTGTTTGATTTTAATCGAATGACGAATGTTTAATGAATTGATTTGAGTCTGATCAGCTTGTCTCAATTTCTGCTGCAACCTGAGATAGATAGAATCTGATTAGGTTGTTAGAGCCTCTTCATTCGATAGTAGGAGATTGGCTATACGAGAGTTAGCCAGTTTACTGCTTTGTACTGGTGTTCTTGGCGCCAGTAGTGGAGTTCTGTGTTCATAGCCTCAGCTTTCTATCCCGGTGAAGACTAGTCGTCTGCCGGGTAGTTAGACTGAGAGGGCTTGGTCAGCTTAAGAGATTCCAAGCTACTGTCGGATCTTCCGCAGTCTAATCAACAGTAAATCAACCCAGGGAATTGCAATTGAACCTAACTAAGGGGCTAGGGGGACTCAATCCCGAGTGACTCTTACCTGCTTTAGAAACCCGAACAATTTACTGCTTTCTTGTTGCTTTTACTTTTCACAACAATCATTCGAACTAGTTTGCTAGATAATAGAGAATCACGGAGTAAGCAGTAGATCTAGACCCCGGGTTGATAATTAAACTTGCCTGTTACTGCAGTCCCTTTCATTGGTTACACTTGGCCATTGTTAGGTGTTGTGTTTTAGCGTGTCAGCCACCTTCATTGACTTCGTCGTTACCATTGTTGTCTTCCCTGGTTCAAGAGCTCAAAAGAACTCACTCTCGAGCCAGGCTCTGATACCAGATGTTAGAAACAAAGTTTCTAACGGTTTTGGGATTGGGAAAAATAGCTGGATCAATTAGGGATTGACCAAGCTAGGGATTGGGAATAGGGGAATTTAGGAAGAAGAGAGGGAAAGAGGGCTGCTGCCGAGCAGCAAAGGAAGAAGAGGGAAGAGGGGTTCGGCGCAGGAGGGAGGAAAGAGAGAGGGAGGGATTAGTTTTAGGTTTTCTATAATTGATTGCTTAATGTCAAAATAACACCCTACTGCAAAATATATAATCCGCCAATTCTCTAACTCCTACCCACATAATAAAATGTAACAATCGACTCCCTGCTTATAGCTAAATATCCCAAATAATCCCCCAATTATCAAAGACCGACAATAATACGAAATAACAAAAAGCTGCAAATTATTTGTTTCTAACACCAGCTTCTCAGTCTTATTTTTACCCCCTTGTTCTTGTCACGAGAACCACCATTATCCTGGCCTTTGGTTCCAATTGCCCCACCTCTCTTTCCCTCCCTCCCTGTATCTGCCCCGCTGGAAGCTCCCTTTTTATCACCCATCACCATCTTCTCCTTGCTCCCATTACGTCCTTCAGCAGGTAGTGCCAGGACTACCCTCCTCGAGGCTTCACCCTTCTCTTGAGCCGCCATATCGAGTTGTGCTTCCTCCCCATTCCGTTTCTTTCCTTGAGTGATGGGATTCACCCACACCGTCTTCTGGAGTGGAGCTCCATGGATGGGCACCAATTTTTCATTCAATATGTGGCCCGATTCCTTGGTAGTGAGCCCTGGACCAAAATATTCCTCCCCTGTTGGTGGTGGGAAATCACAGTTTTGGCCAGTATGGCCGAACCTACCACAATGGTAGCAAAATAGAGGGAGATGTTCATACACCAGTGTGAACCAGAAATTCCCCACACTCGAATTGCTCGCAAACAATTGAGACTGAAGGGGTTCCATCACATTAAGCTTCACCCTTGTTTTGACAAAATGACCTGGAACTCCCCGAATGCCAAACAACCCAGCATCCAGTACCGTACCAAGCTTCGCCTCAGCCATTCGCCTCCCAAACGCAATGGTTCGACAATGTGAGGGAATTCCCCACATTTGAACCCAGAAAGGAGCCATTGACAACGACTCCACCACGTCTGGGGTTACTGGTTCCCATGCTTGTAGCTGTAGTATGCGTTCCTTCACCTGCCAGGGAGTACGCTGAAGGACCCAGTCCCTGTCTCTCTCATCATCGAACAAGAACTGAAGAAGGCCCAGCTCCGCTTCAATGACTGTCATGTTACCAGAGCAGCCCCATTCTCCCTGGACAATCTTCTGGATGGTCTTTAAACTCGGCGGGTTCTCCATAAACAGTCTCCCGATTAGGTTAAGCTTAGCCCTTCTCATGCTGTCCTCCACATCATCCAATTCAAATTCTACAATCTGATCAGAGTCCATTGGCTCTCCCGACATGGTTCCGATCCTCTCAATCACGAGTAAAAATTCGAAACAGGGCAATGAAACACAGAGTACCGATGTAAGGGGCTAGCCAAAGGAAATACAACCTCAAAATAACCATATGAATCATGGTGCTATTACCTCGATCACTCGGTATAACCAACCCTTCTGTTATCAACTTCCTTTTCTCAGTATTCTGTAAGCGCTCAGTTGCAGGGTCGAGACGCCGATTTGTGGTAATATATACCCACTTCGGTGTCAATCGCAACACCGTATCTACAACCATCTCCTGATTCGAGATTATCCCCTTTTTCTTTTTGGAGATTTCATCCCAACGGCGGATTTGGGTATATTGCCATAGCTTTCCATTTTTTCCCAAAACTCCCAATCGTGAGCGAAAAGTTCTCATTCTGGGTCTTCGTCTTCTACAAAAACTCCTTCTTCCCTTCCCCATCTTCCGATTACCGCTGCTTGGATTGCTTCCTTACCATGAATCAGCCATCGATTAGATGTCGTAGTCCTCCGGATCTCTGCCCTAGAGATTCCAGCGAGGATAAGGGATGAGAGGCGCAGCAGAAAGCAATAGGGTTTTTCGAGGTGAGAGGACAGAGCGTTTTGCTCCATTTTTTTTTTCTTTTTCCGTGTCTGGATGTGCTAACTACATATCTTTGAATGTAGGTAAATTATATTTAACGTAAGAAAAGATTAGTATGTACTAATTGATAAAGTAAATATATTTTACTTTGTCGAATGTCTGGCTATGCCAATAGAGAGAACAAAACATCATTCTGGAAATTAAAAATATCTCACTAACGATTTGAATAGAAAATATTTTATGCCGATGAGGGTTTACAAGAATATTGCGCGACAAAATAGACTCTTTAATAAAGCTAGATAATTGCATTCGTGAAAGTCTCATTTGTAGTTCTCATATATTTTTATTATCTGGGTTTGTAGGTATAAACTATAAAGAATAAAGTGCACATTTGAATAACTAAGTTTATAACTGATATATATCACGTGGAGGCTGACATGGTCATGCTTATCCCCTACATGCATTGATTTATTTTTGCAACCCTAGATCTACAGTCTACAAATATGGTCTCTGGAATGTGATTCTCGTTCCCATACATTCTCTATATTATTGGTACCAGTCCATCGTTACTAGCGCTATAAGTAACGGAAAATTATAGTTAATAATCCATATGCAAATTTCAACCACTTCCTTATCATTTAAAAAGAATACTAGGTGGTGATGCCGCGCCTTGTCGCGGGCTGAGATGACCTATGGACATGTATTATGTGACCCGTTATGGTGTTTTGTTAGTATTATTAGTCTAAAATCAATTTTTTTGTTAGCAATTTTGTTAGTAAATTGACTGAGAAGAGATATATGGCGGTCAACATCCAATTTAATTTTTGTTAGAAAATTTTGGCTAGTAAATGATATTTACATAAACCCAAGTAGACCTATTGATCATGGGTAGAGTATGTATATTTATTTCTAAATATGTATATTTAGTGGAAGTTTGTAGATGGGTTTGGGTAGGATGTGTATATTTATTTCTATAATCTAAATATGTATAAGTTGGCTATGGATACCCATCTATTCGTGGGTGTTTTAATTACACGTACAAAAAGTAGACCTATTTGTAGAAATTCAAAACTTTAGGTATCAAAATGTTATAGACAAAAAAATTAGGTGCTCAATTTTGGGGGTGATAATCCCCAAATTGGGATTACACCCTCAAACATTCAATGTATAATTGTCGAAAATTCTAGTCCGGGTGAAAAATAACAACTTTAGAAAGAAGCAAAAAGAATACAAACTGGAACTCGCTTAAAATTGCATGCCTTCAAATCCCATAGTGAAAAATGACGAATTTCTAATAAGTAATAATCATTTTTTTTTTTAATTGGACTCGACATTGAGCTGGAAAAAAGTTAGTGGTTCATGGTTCAATTATTAGTTCTCTAGACTGTTGGTGAGTCGTGTATGGACCCGTTCATACTTGTGATTGGAATACATAAAAATAGTATCCTAATTAGGGTTAGACGAAGAAGGCAAAGAAAGAAATAAAGAAAGGGTTATGGAATGCGAGTGAAAAATGAAACGAAGAGGAAGTAGATGATGGAAAGGTTTTGTCTGATTCTTTTAGTTGATCGTCAATACAACAGTAAACCCTTTTCACCGTAGAAATTTATTGACACTTGCTTATATAGATGTCGCATATTTTGTTAGAAGTAGTTAGTAGAAGTTTGCTTAGTACCTCGTAAATATACTAAATGAGTTACCAAAACATAGTTGTTCAATGATTTTACAATAAAATAAAATTTGGGGTATCAAATGTAAAATCTACATTATAGTGACTAAGTTGTGATTTAATTAAATTTAGGGTAGTTAGTAGTAGTTTGTTTAGTATCACATACATGTACTAAATGAGATACCAAAACATAATTATTTAATGATTTTACCTTAAAATTAAATTTGGGTATCAAAATATAAAATATACCTTATAATAACTAAATTGTGATTTAATTAAATTTGTGGTATGAAAATGTAATTTTTTAGCAACCGTAACCAAACTTCTGTTTTATATATATTAACGTGAAATTAAAGTAAAAGGCAGCAGCCCAGCACAGTCTACTACTACTATAGTCTCGTATATAATACATTGAGTGAACACCTCATTTTACATTATATACGCCATATTTGCGATATTTATGTCATATTTGTGTCATTCACGTTATGTTTGCGTTATTCACGTAAAAGTGTTGATTATTCACGCAACCAATACTATTAGGTCACGCCACATGATGTTTATTCACGCATATTGTTAATTTATTCACATTGTTGTAAAATAAAATTTTAAACTTTGAAATATATCAAAATAGATGTCATTGTGTAGATTATAATCAATGCAACATATTTTTACAAATGAAGTAATAATCCAAATTTAATTCCATAAAATATAACCAATACAAATTATTAGGGAAAAAGTATGAATTTCCATTTACGTGAAAAACTTACACTTTTACATAGATCCCATAGTATTACGTGAATGGACACAGAATAACGTAAATGAACTAGTCTTTAAGTATTCAGTCAGCTAAGGTTACAAGAGATGTTTTCCTAATACATTATCACGGTGAGGGCTGAGCTAGGGAATCGGTTATCTTGCTAATGCTACTGATCGTCCATCGTTACTAACGCTACAAGTAACAGAGTTTGGGATCCAAGATCTGGCCTCTGGATGTGATCATCAGCCAGCCAGCTAGGGCTGGTCTAAAAAATTAATTTAATAATTAATTCGCATGTGATGGTCTGGCTCACATGGAAGATTTTCTATATATTTCTTTACACGTCCATCCCCATCTATATAGTCTGATAGTTGACCAGGATGCTGTTAGAAACAAGGTTTCTAACAGTTGTAGAATTGGGGAAATTAGCTAGACCAACTAGGGATTGATCAAGCTAGGGATTAGAATTTGGGAATTTAGGAAGAAGAGAGAGAAGGTGGCTGCCGATCGGCCAATGGAAGAGAGAGAGGGAGAGAGAGCTCGGCGCTAGGGAGAGAGAGAGAGGAAGATTAGGATTTAGGTTTTCTGTAATTGATTGCTTACTGTCAAAATAACACCCTACTGCAGATTATATAATCCGCTAATTCCCTAACTGCTACCCATATAATAAAATGTCACAACTAACTCCCCACTTATTGCTAAATACCCCAAATAATCCCCCAATTACTAAAAACCGACAATAATACGAAGTAATGAAAAGCTGCAAATTGTTTGTTTCTAACATCCCCGCCTCCTTGGGAAGCAACCTTGTCCTCAAGGTTGCGGCTTCTCTTGCTCTGCTCCGGGCTCCTCCGCCATCTCATCCTCCGCCTCGTCTTCCCATCGTCCCACCAAGAACATCAAGTCAGGCTTCCCGCACTTGTGACCAAAGGTAAACCGCTCGTCACAGTTGAAACACTTCCCTTCTTGCCTCTTCTGCTCGATCTCTGCGGGAGATAGCGTCCTAAATCCCTTGGGTGGTGGCCTCGGTCCCGCTCGAATGACAGCCGAAGGTGGGCCAGCCGCCGCACCCCCTCCCGAACTAGGGCCCGATGTGGCTGCACTCGTTCCGCCGCTCGTGCCGCTACCACTGCCTCCTCCTCCGGCCGGCTTCTGATAACGGCCTATCACTCCCCGCCAGCTAGCCAGCTCCTCCTCCTTATTACCTGCAAGACGGAAAACAGCTCGAAGTGAATCGGGCTCAAATACCCGAACAGCCGCTGCAATCTCTGGGCGGAGTCCCGCCATGCACAGACCCACCAATGTCTCCTCCGGTACGCCCTTGCACTGGTTACCCAGTTTGAAGAACTCAGCTCGATACTCCGCCACTGTCCCAGTCTGGCGCAGCTTCGCCAACTGCTCCGGGGCCCACCCTTCCGACTTGCCGAACTGATACCTCAACTCCTCCTTGAACATCGGCCAAGTAATTAGCGTCCGAGCTTCAGCATAGGTCCGCTCCATCCATTCCCACCACTGCAATGCATCCCCCTCTAAATAGAAGGACGCCAACTGAGCCTTTCGTTCTTCTCTAGTGGGATGGTTCTTGAACCACCGTTCCGCGGAGTATATCCACAGACCTGCATCCTCCCTGCCATTGAATTTTGGAAACTCAATGGTTGGAGGTTTAGCTCGGAACACCATGTCATCTTCCGCCTCACCACCTCGGGAGTAACCAGCGTGCCTCCCATATCCCGGCGCCTCACTGTGATAGTGCTGCGAGAACCGATGTCCCCCTTCATACTCCCACTCATCCTCCTCCTCCTCCTGATACCTCCTTCTTCGGCCCATCTCATTTCTTTGCCTCTGGTCACCTGTTCCTGCTCCCATGAATTCCTTACCAGTACCCTGCTGATTCACAAATGGAGGGTGAGTGCCACTGTACTCGTCGAACTGGCCCTGGGGAGCCGGAATTCCCCTGCTGCCCGTTCCCCCTGCACGTACCCGCTGCTGCCCCGGGTCGGTCCTGGTTCGACCGGGTTCGATTCGACCGGGTTCGATTCGACCGGGTTCGACCCATCCGGGTTCGGCCCGAGTGCTCGGGGCCCGACTCAACCCAGCTCGGCCCGCGGTTTCTCGGCCGCCCCCTCTCCCAGCCGCGGCCCAATTCGCGCCGCCCTCCGCCTGGGCCGCCTTCCAGCCCTGCGCGGCCCATCTGGCTTCCTTCCTCCCTGTTGTAGTCCGCCCCTGGCCCACTCAACTCGTTAGGCCAGGGCCCGCGATCGTACTCCTGCTCCAAGTCCATCAACTCTTCCTCGTCTAGGCCCGTTTGCAGACCCGGATCCACGTACTCAGCCATCTTGGCCTTGCCCCGCGCGCGCGCCTTCTCCTGGGCCGAGGGGGTTGGGAGCAGCCCATCTTTGATTGTTGGGCCAAAGGAGACCTGGCCCGCACGCAACCCCAGTGGCCGGTTAGGGTTGGCCGCCGCCCCGCTCCTCTCACCCAGCCCGTCCGCCGCCGTGTTCGACGAGAGCCGTGCGGCGCCGTGGCCGCCGGGCGCCTCCACCGAGGTCGATCCCTCCCCTGGCGCGCCGTCCTCCCCGTGCAACTGGCCGCCGCCGCCAGCTTCGACCCCTGACTTCTTCAGGGCCTCCGTCAAGTCACCCACCTGCCCCGCCAGTGCCTTCACAGCCCCCGCCAGAGCCTCAAGGGTGCGGCCTTGATCCCTAGACCTCGCCTGCAGTCCCTTCAACTCTTCCTCCACTCGCGCCTGTCTCTCTGCCTGCGCCTCCAAGTCTCTCCTCAGTTCCTCATTGCCGGTCAGATCCTCCACAGCCCCATCGACCCCGTCGTCACCTGCATCGGCGCTCCTGTCACCCGCCTGGTTCGCCTTCTCCGCTTTCTCTGCTGCCTTCATGGATTTCGTCGTTACCATCGTTGATTCTCCGGTTTCTAAGCTGTCCTTGATGGAGTTGAGAAGAACTCACCGATCGGAACCGGGCTCTGATACCAGATGTTAGAAACAAGGTTTCTAACAGTTGTAGAATTGGGGAAATTAGCTAGACCAACTAGGGATTGATCAAGCTAGGGATTAGAATTTGGGAATTTAGGAAGAAGAGAGAGAAGGTGGCTGCCGATCGGCCAAGGGAAGAGAGAGAGGGAGAGAGAGCTCGGCGCTAGGGAGAGAGAGAGAGAGAGGAAGATTAGGATTTAGGTTTTCTGTAATTGATTGCTTACTGTCAAAATAACACCCTACTGCAGATTATATAATCCGCTAATTCCCTAACTGCTACCCATATAATAAAATGTCACAACTAACTCCCCACTTATTGCTAAATACCCCAAATAATCCCCCAATTACTAAAAACCGACAATAATACGAAATAATGAAAAGCTGCAAATTGTTTGTTTCTAACAGATGCAGCCTGCCAGCTCCTATATAGAAGAAGAAGAAGAAGAAGAAGCGCCATAGCAAAACCGTGTAGCTATATAAATACCTTGGCGCATAGGAAGCCTTCGTACCTACAAATCACAACAATGGTGACGAAACTGGTAGCAGGGCTCCCACAGTTCATGGCGCTCCTCTCAAAGAGGGACAACCTCTACATGCATTACAACTGGAACGAGCAAGAGTTCCCCGACTTCAACCAATGCCTGGGGACCACGCGGGTGGTGGACCCGGTCAGCCAGTTCGCCAAGCTAGAAGTTGTCCCATGACACATCCACCGGTACCGACAGTTCGTTCGTCCACCTCCGCTGCTCCTACAACGGGAAATACCTCTGGTGTGTGACCATCCACGGCTAGTGGTTCCTCTCCGCCACCGCCGACTCCCCCAACGAGAACCGCACCTAGGTCGGCCCCTGCACCCTTTTCAAGCCCGAGTTTTCTCCCGGTCAGCCGCCCAACAACAGCCAGCGCGTCTGGATCTACTGCTTCGCCAACGATCCCACCCCCACGATGCACAACATGGCGTGCCTCTACGGCGACGGAGTTGGCTACGTTTCGGATTTCGACTTCTCCCCCTGGGAATCGTACGTGGACAAGGCGGGGGCCCGGGACGCCGAGATCCTGAGGCTGAGTGTCGACGTGGCGGCCAAGGACGAGGAGATGCGGAGCCTGGGGCGGGAGCTGGCAGATAAGGACGTCCAGATTGGAAACCTGCAAGGCCAGGTGGCGGACAAGGACGAGGAGATACGGGTACTGAATTCCCAGGTGGTTACTAAGGATGCGGAGATAGAGAGCCTAGGGCACCAGCTGGCCGACAGGGAAGCCCGGATCCTTGAGCTACGAGCCCAGGTGGCTGCTTGGGTGTCCTACGATGAGGAGAAGAGGGCCAGGCTGGAGGCCGAGATGCTGACTCTGCACTCCACAGTGGCTTCCGCGTAGGACTCTTTCGACGGGAACGTCAGCAAGGCCCGCCCGTAAATAATGATGATAATAATGCTCTGTATTGTATTGTCTAGCTCATTTCTGTTTCTCGTGTGTTTCAACGAATAAAAAAGTATTAATTCCACTTTTAGTTTCTTGATCAAATAAGTTTGCTGGCAGATGGTAGTTTATTCAAAATAAAAAAAAAGGTTCAGAAGTTCAGTGGTTTAATTTATATCTTATCGTCGGTGAATGGTGATACAGTGTCTTTACATGTTAGTTTGATTTTTATTGTTTAAGCGGCAACATGTTTCATGTGGACCACAAATATATTTACATTACATTGCATAGTATAGATAAATTTTATTGTCTTAGATAAATATTTCTCGTGTGTTTCATGTGAACTGCTTGATTGATGGAATAATGGGATGATGAGTGACGAAAGAAGAAAGCCTCGATTGGAAGATGAGATGGGGAATCAATTGTGAAGGTAAGATTACCAAATTTTTCCCAGCGATTCAGAACAAATAAACGAGAAAATGATTTCGTTGGATTTAAGAGTTTTTCTATATTTAGATTTAGTCGACGACGGTGATGATAGTAAAGGATAACAGAGGCAGGTACGGATGGCAATGGATCGGGTTGGGGCGGGTTTTGTCAAACTCAAATCCAAACTCATGGGTTTATCCGCCAAAAAAACCCGGGGTAAAACCCGTTGGGTTTGAAAAACTCAAACCCAACCCAACCCGCTGAGTATCCGCGGGTTCATGGGTACCCGTGGGTTTTTGTGGTAAAAAATTTACAATAACAAATTTCTTTCAAAATAAAAGTTTTAACATCAATTTTCTCATACAAATTATTCATACAAAAAACACCAATCTTGAACATACAAGCAAACCGCAAAGGGTTAAAGACACATTTGGTCACTGAGATTACAAAATCGGGACATGTTTAGTCACTAGAAAAAATTAATATCAAATTTGGTCACTACAATTACTAAAACTGGACACATTTAGTCACTCGCCGTTAGTCTCCGTCCAACTCCGTTAATGAAGTCCGTTAAGTGATGATGTGGCAAACAAAATTGCCTAATCAGCCGGATATAACCCAACAAAAATAAAACCCGACCCGCCACGTCATTAAAACCAACCCAACCCAACCCATGACCCAACCCCACCCAACCCTTCTTCCTCCTTCCTCTCACATACCGAAACTCAGGAAAGCAGGGCGACATCACTTTCGAAAACTTTAATCCGGTCAAGGGAGAATCAGATCGATGCTGCAGAAACTCCCCATTGCAGCTCAACAGCTGCACAGAGTAGGACAAGAACACAAATTAATCCAGTAAAGTAACAAGCACAAGAACATCAAGCTCAACACCTCCAGAGAATCCGAGATGCGCATCAAAGTCAAAGAACTCACATCCTGCAGCAGCGCCTTCATTCTTCCCTTGTTCTCTCCTTCAAACTGGCTGTTATCATGTACATAATGACCAAGGGAAATAGGGAGGATTAACTGGTACAAAATTGGGGAAGATTCCATACCCTCCGTGATGTTTAGGAATTTGAGGTTTGGGGCAAATATTTCAACCTTAGCACAAGAAAGCTCGACAATCAGGAGATGGGCGAGCCGGGGACCGGAGACCTTGAAGCAACAAGGAGGATCATCCGGCTTACGGCTAAACACACAGTTAGCCACTACCAACTTCTCCAAGCTGGGAAACCCAACGGAAAGATCGAGATCAGCGGCACTGCTACAAGGCAGACTGACCTCATCCAAATGCAAAACCCTCAGCGAGCTGAAACCACCGAATCCCGTCCCCAAACGTGCGGCCCTCAACTCTAGCGTTGTGAGATTGCTATTATCAGCCAAGGGGGCAAGGAAATAGGGTTGGAGATCTGTGACTGTAGTAACAAACAACTCTCGACAACGGCGAGAAGCAGCAAATTGTATGACCTTGTGGAGCCGCCGCCGCGGAAGACGACGAGTTCAGTGTGGTTTGCGGGAGGAGGTGGGAGGAAGGAGGAGAGCGGCGGCGGCGGTTTTGGGGAAATAAGGAGGTGAGAGGAAGGAGGAAGAAGGGTTGGGTGGGGTGGGGTTGGGTCATGGGTTGGGTTGGGTTGGTTTTAATGACGTGGCGGGTTATAATGACGTGACGGGTCGGGTTTTATTTTTGTTGGGTTATATCCGGCTGATTAGGCATTTCAGTTTGCCACATCATCACTTAACGGACTTCATTAACGGAGTTGGACGGAGACTAACGGCAAGTGACTAAATGTGTCCAGTTTTAGTAATTGTAGTGACCAAATTTGATATTAATTTTTTCTAGTGACTAAACATGTCCCGATTTTGTAATCTCAGTGACCAAATGTGTCTTTAACCCAAACCGCAAATGATCAATACAAATTGTTTAAAATTAAAGATAAACATCTATAAACAACAAGATTAATTGAAATCTTCTTCCTCGTCAAATAAGTTTCTTCACTCTCCACTCCATTATATCAACTTCATTCTAAACAATTAGAAATAACAAATTATACATGTCTCCACAAACATAAATAATATTAGTTGTTTAAAGACGATATATTATTTAGAATATTAAATATACCGGGAAAGTAATTATATGTGTGGGCGGGTACCCATAGAGCGGGTTTACCTAAACCCAAACCCAACCCAACCCGGTGAAGAGTGCTATTTCCGGAAAAATCCCGCAAAATCTAGTAATAAAAGCATTCCTTTTTCTGTGTGGAAAAGACCTCTTGCGCTTCTTTGAAATTGAAACTACCTTATCCTTTTCCGTTTCGGACTCCCTCAAATTCAGCTTCGGAGCAATTCGATTCTCTTCCTATAAATAAGTAGCTCCGGGCAGAGACAGATTCTCACATCTTCATCAACATCAATCAGCAGCTCTCGCTTTCTAATCGCTCGCGGTGCAGTAAAGAGATTCCCCGGAAAAAGCTAATCAAGAATTCCAGTCGCCGTAACAATGTCGACGGAGAAGAAACTGATCACTCTGAAGAGCAGCGACGGCGAGTCGTTCGAAGTGGAGGAAGCCGTGGCGATGCAGTCGCAAACAATCAAGCACATGATCGAGGACGACTGCGCGGGCGACGGCATCCCGATCCCCAACGTCACCGGCGGGATCCTGGCCAAGGTGATCGAGTTCTGCAAGAAGCACCAGCACGCTGCTCAATCCGACGCCGATTTGAAGAAATGGGACGCGGAATTCGCCAATGTGGGGCAGGACACGCTCTACGACCTGCTGCTGGCGGCGAACTACCTGAACGTCAAGGATCTGCTGGATTTGATCTGCCAGACTGTGGCCGACCTGATCAAGGGGAAGACGCCGGAGGAGATAAGGAAGTACTTCAATATCAAGAATGACTTCACTAAGGAGGAGGAAGAAGTGATTCGCAGGGAGAACCAATGGGCGTTTGAGTGAAACTTTTCCCAACGAAATATCATATGCATTGTAGTAGTTTGATAGTCATAGTAGTGAGTCAGCTTCGAGTTTGAATTTTGATGTTGATATAATTGTTTTTGTATGGATTCACAGGAGAATTGGTTGGTTTTTCTTTGTTTTCTAAGTGGGGTTTTCCTGGCTTGTGTTTTGCGGATAAGAAGAATTGTAAGCTTTCTTTTTGCAGTTTTTTGTTAGTGAAACAGAGCTTCATTTGCTGCTTTTCTGGTGTAACAGTGGGATTAGTCACATTCAAAAAGTCTTGCAGATATCATAATAAGAGGTCTTACAGCATTTTAAGTAACAGTGGGACTAGTCACATCCTTGACTGCACTTGCACTTTTTTGTCTAAGCTAGCTTCAGTTGATCTCAAGGTCTTCAGCTTCTCTTTCACTTTGAAGATGACTTGGTGCACTTCATCAAAGTGAGGACTGGTAGCATCCTTTGTATACTCGATCCACTGTAGAACCTTCTTATGAGGGCTGAGAACTCGGTTTCGGTCAATGTCATCCATAACCTGAAATCTCAAACAGGAGAGAATTTTTACACTAGGAAGTTTCGCATAATGCTTTCATTTCATCTACATACATTCTTTCATGAATAGCACAAGACTGAAACAAGTACCTCCAATTGCATTAGTTCGCATACGAGGCTGATATCTGCTATAGAAGGTTGATTCCCGCCGAGCAAGAATTTCCCACTGCCCTTGAGCCAGAAAGACTCCAACTTCGACAAGGATGCAGTTAAAATCTTCTCACCTTCTGCTGCTAGTTCTGGATTCAAGGGCCGTCCAAGTGCAGGTCCCAATGCCTTGTTTAGAACAAACATAACTGAAGAAGCATGATGTGTTAGATCAGAGATGCAATAATCAGGCAGAAACAGTTACACCTTCGCAAAGCTCATCAAAATCATTAAATGTCAAACAGATATGAAAATGAGCTTGAAACAAAGTCTACGCATGTAACTAGCAGCAACTCGGTGCCTAAAACTGCAATTTAGATGTAGTGGAGAGAATCGAATCCTGAACCCCGGAATCAGGGTCTAGGAAAGATTAATGGATGCAGCACCTGCTCCGCGGCGCAGGCTGGTGTGATGCCAGTCAAGCACTGATTGAATCTTAGCTCTCTTGAAAAGATCAGCTGGATACCTAGATGAACCAAAAATGGCCGCTTAGCTCGAGAACATATTTTCCAAACAGAACAATGCGTCCAGCAAGGAAATTATACAAAAGAGAATATGTACTAATTGCATCAATGACCTCTATTTCAAGAAGAAGTATTCAAATTATCTTGAGGTGTCAAGTCATAGAACACTAAGAAAAATGCGATCCATAAATGCATAAGAAGACACAACAACTGAAACTTACCAGTGATCAGCAACTCCAGGAAATACGCAAGCTAGATAGATGAGGATTGCGTGACTGTACAAGAAAAAGAATCAACAAATTAACAACAGTAGAGCAAATGAAAGACAAAAGACATCAGGGCATCCATCAGAACTCGTAAGGGCCCGAAGCAAAAACATTACAGGATCATAGAAGAACCTAGACATATCATGGTAGAAATTTAGGACATTGATTACCTCTCAAATAGCTTGAATCTTCCATCAACTATAGCAGGCACTAGCTGCATAGGGTTTATCTCTGAAATCCCACCATTCAACAAAGACAGACAAACACAAACAGAAAAGGCATCATTAAGTTGGCCTCAACATCCCTCTTCTAAACAGAGTTTCCCTCCAAGAAATCCCCTATCAAACCACTACACTGAAAAGAATTGCACCAAATCTCTTTAACAATTTCCATTTCAGGAATCCTTCTTAAGAAACCAAGCAAGCTCAAATCTTTCCTTCCAAACCTCAAACACCCAGAAACAAGGAGACTCCAAAGAGAACAAGATACCTGTAAATTCAGGAGACAAATGCTGACGCTTAGACAAGTCTACTTTGATCTCCACAAAGTCAATCCGGTTCAGCCTGAAAATCCCCCAATCCAAAAACTCATAAACCACAGCTGGAAACATCAAATCCATTGTCAAATTCAAGTAGAAAGTGAGAAAGATGGTTACTTGCAGAAGAGAACGACAGCCCTGGATGGCTGGGACATGCGATCCACATACACTTTGAGCGTCATCTTCTTCTTCTTCTTCTTCTTCTTCTTCTTCTTCTTCTTCTTCTCCAAATTCTTGAAAGTTTATTCACAGATGGTATATGGCGATTTACGAGTTTCACTATTTAATTGGCTCTAAGTTCTAACCATTATCCACACCAGTGGGAGACCCTAATGTGGACATTTTTCTGTGTTCTGTAAACGTCAGATGCTAGAACGGTGTCAGACTGCCGGCGCTCTAAGCCACTCTCCATTCATCATCAGTGACGGCACCTCGTTCGGTTCAGTTTGTTGGTACCTGTCTCAAACTCTACGAAATGGGCCTAGAAGCTTGAAGGCTCTGGGCTTGGCTTTGTTTAGCCTATTTGTTAACCGATGGATTTTGGCCTGCTCAATATGGGACACCCTGACAAGCCCGGAAAATTTGGAGTGCATCCCTTTCAACCATTCAACCCGAGACTCATGGGTTGGGTGGTTAAAACGATGAAAACCGACCCACGTAATACTGTCCATGAAAATATTAGAAGTTAGAACGATCCTAATACTGTCCATGAAAATATTTCATTTAGATAAATTTTATTTAAATTTAAAAGGATTTACCACAATTCTAAAGGGAGGATCACGTTTATTATTATAAGAAATAAGGGGACAAGTATATGGACCTATTTGTAAATTTTAAAAAGTCTTAGCATCAAAATGTAAGACATAAATTTTTAGATTCTAAAATATAATTTTACATCAATACTTTTAGGACTTATATGCAAAAATAATTGTAGGTTCGGGATGTTACAAGTGGTATAAGAGCCTCTCCGCGTCCCTCTTGAACGATGGTGGGGCAAACCTCAACGAGGGCGTTGAGTCCCGGGGGGGGGGGGGGGGGTGTATGTAACACCTTAGGCAAATCCCACATCGACAAAGCATGGGAGAGATCCATGGTTCATAAGTAGGAAACTGGACTTAATTGACAAGACGTGTTTTGGGGTGTAATGGAGGAGTTCTTGTGAGAACTCCGAAGTTAAACGTGCTCAGTGTGGAGAACTACAAGGATGGGCACCTTTGGCCAAATGCGGTACATCGAGGGATTGAGTCCTGACCCCGAGGTCCCACCACTAGCAGAGCATCCACCTGCTCGTGCACCCGACCGCCACCGGCGTCCAGCGCTCCAGCGCCCAGCACAGCCACCACCGCCAACAGCAGGTGATCCCCTCGTCCAGAGGTTGGATCGCCTTAAGACGAGCTTCGTGGGATTCTCTTCCCGCCGGGACCGGCATACTGACATTCTCGAGTTTATGGCTCGACGCCAGGGCATCCTCCCAGATGAGGCTGCGGGTCCTTCCACCAGAGAGAGGTAGCCGACGAGTGAGACATGTGGCAGAGCCGAATCCTTTCGCCCCACTTCTCCATTTGTAACCCTGAACTTGTTTTTTTTTTTGTTATTTTTTCTTGATTTTGTGTGTGTGTGACATAAACCACTACTATCGTATTGTGTTTGTAATAACCTCGCCTCGAGCGAGTCGTATTGTGCTTGTGTGTGTGTGTTTTTTGTCTCTCCTTGAAGCTCCAAATATCCTGCCCCGGATTCGATTCCAACTTTCACTCACCAAGCCAAAGCGGTAACATCATTATACCCCTTTCTTACGCCATTGAGGGCAATGTCGAGCTTAAGTGTGGGAGGGGTAGTTTACTATTATGCTTGTGTGAGTGTGATTGATGCTTGGAGCCTTTTGTATGCCCAAATTTCTAAAATTATAGGGCTCCAAGCAATGTTTGCATGATCAAAGTGGCCGGTGTGTGGGAAAATCTCGTGTTTATTGGCATTGATCTTGAATTGTTGCATGTGATCGAACATATCCTATGATGATGACTGAGAGGTCCATTAGGATAGGGAATAGAGTTTAGTTCTCAAGTGTGCATAAATGAATAGATGTCTTGACTCGATTACTTGTTGATACAATTGCCATGCATTGTGTTTGTGAATTGGAATAGATGGTTGGGTGACTAGGTAGCCATGTGAGTTTTGAGCCTATCGTTTTCTTCTTGTGTGCTTAGATCCCTCTTACCATGTCGAGTAACATCACAATTGTCACTAGTGAGTATGATGGAGGCATAGGATTAGTCCACGCCCAAATGTTGATTGTCCTGAGATGTGTTATCCACTAGTCAGCCCCTTTGAGCCTTGTGACTTCGAGGTTCATTCTTAAGATAGGAGCTTCGTGCTTGTGAGCTTAATGGTGTTGATAGAACGACCCACAATCCTTTCTTCGTGTCTAAACATGAGTCGTCCTTGTGTCCCGGAGCTCTCACCTTTGAGTTTCCATAGAGGTTCTACATAGGAGGTTTGTGTGCGGTTCTAGCTAGGAATGAGAAAAATGAAATGTAGTGTTGGAGTGAGTTCCTCAAAAAGAGAGCATTGATCGTTAAATGTATAGGTGGCAAGTGTTTTTACTCTCTAGTACCCCCTCAAAAAAGAATAGAAAAAGAAAGAAAAGAGAAACGAAAAAGAGGTAATAAAATAGGGTAAATAAAGTAGAGAGTGCCACGAAAAACCAAAGCACATGCTCTAGAAGGGGGTTTCTTGGCACCCACGCATTGAAACCCCCACATTGTTTTAGAACTCCTTCACTACCAAACTTTAATTTGCTAGCAAGAGTAGACAGAGGAAGAGTGCTTCGATGTAGTTCACGATGGGTGATAGTTTGGAAAGGAGAGATAAGGTTTTTGGCCGATGCTAGTGGCCTTGGGTTGAAGAGAAGGGTTTTAGTCGAAATCATAGAACCTTAGGGTTTAGGTTGAAGATGTAGAACCTCATGTCATGATTGCCACCACCCAAAAAGCCTTTTTTCCATGTCCAAGACGATTGCTAGTCATCTGAACCCGTGTCTAAGACCTCCCAACAAGCTAGTGGTGACAACCATCCCGTGAACTCTAGCATTTAGAGGTTATCGTCGTGGTATTGAGACGATAGGTTCGAGATTTTATGATTGTGCACATCTTTTGCACCAAAAGGTCCCGACTCCACTGGTCCTGAGAGTGAGTGATTCATTCTTGCTTTGCATGTCCTATCATACCCCGGTGAGGACCTTTGTTGCCTTTCCATTTGATCCTCGGACTTGAATTCCATGCATGGTTGGTTGTGGTTGATAAGTGGTCTTGTTGAGACTTGCATTGATCCATGAACAAGGTGAGAAATTTTCGTTTGCCAGTTATTGGTGGCTTCGAATGTCGTTTGTGGTGGATGTCGGTATTGCTTGCAATGTTTCATGTATTGATTGCCAATAGCCATTGAGAATTCCCACTTTGTGCCCTTTGAGTTGTCCCCAAAGTATTTGTGTAGGTTGAAATATTACCTTGTGTGAAATGATTTGCTTGGGGACAAGCAAACGTCTAAGTGTGGGGAGTGATTTGGGCCTAATTGTACATGTTTTGCCCCCGTTTTCCTTAGTCGTTTGTGGCAACTTCACTCCTAAAAGGTTGGTTTTACGCTAGGTTTCTCGTGTTTTAGTGCGTTTTAGGATTTAACAGGTGAAACCAGCCTAGTAGTCGAAAGTTGGACGAAAAGTGTCGAAAACCAGGAGAAGAGGTGAAAAAGGGCGAGATCACGGTATTCTCGGGCTGTTCACGATCTTACATGTCCATGGAGAAGAGCCATTAGCCGTGAACCTTGAGGCGTCCAGAGCCAAAATGCAAGTTACTAATGCAAGACGTGTTCACGGTCACTAAGACCGTGAACAGGAGCTGTGGACCATGAACACAAGGAAGCAAAGCGTTGCGTTTCGGCGCCCAATTGGAGTTCACGGACGCGTTTCAGTGTTCACGGCCGTGAACTGGAGCCGTCACAGCCTGTTCATTATTTAAATGTTGAGCTGAAAGGAAGAGAGCAGGGGGAGCCCATTTGAGTGAGAAAGCCTTCTTGTGATTTCTAGAGAGAGAAACACGACCTAAGGAAGAAGGAGGCTAGAGTTTTTGCTCTAAGGTGGATTTTGGGAAGATTTCCTCCAAGGAAAGTTCAACACAAGGACCAAGAAGATTGGAAGCCTCCTCCAAGATGGTTTCTATCCCTTCTTGTGTCTCTCTCATCTCAAGCATGGAGTAGAATTCTTTTCACTTGGTGTTGTGAAACCCTAACTCTACCATGTAGTTTTCTTTTATGTGAATTGAATGATTGTCATTGGCTATTGTTTAATCCAAATGTTTGAGGTATTATTCATCTTGATTGTGCATGTTTGTGCTTAGCATCCTTAGGTTTGTGCATGTCTATGCTTAGCAACCTAAGGATTGTGCATGTTTATGCTTAGCAATCTAATTAGCCACTTAACCTAGTCTAGAGAGGGAAACCCCCCTTCCAAGGGAGTCTCAATCAAGTTGGTATCCCTAGGGATTTTCAAGTCTTCAAACTAGGTTAATTTATGGCAAACCTCAATATTGGATTAAGCAATTTGGTTAAGCGCGATCAAGCCGACCAACCCTTGGGTTGAGTGAGGGAGTAAGTCAATGATTGATTGCCTAAACCGAGAGGGCCTAGTGACAGCCTATAATGCATGCCTCGGTTTAGCAATCATGAGCATGGTCTATGACCATATTTGAGTCCCCTAGCGGTTAGCGATCACCTTGCCCATAGTAATCATTTCGGTTCACATACCATGGTAGTAGTTAGGGGGAAGCGACACCCAAGTGATCCTTCCACAAAAGAGCTTTCAAAACCATTCACCTTTCTCTTGTTTTACTTTAATTAGCAAAGTTTTCAACCAAAATCTTATTGCTAGATAATGATTCAAATGACTGAAGTAGTGGTAGACGGACCGGTCCAGGTTGATATTTAAACATACTTATCCTGTACTGCACCCGACTAAGGTTTATACTTGGACCTTAGGCGGGAAATTGTTGTGGTATTCAAGACGAGTCAGGTGACGAAGGGGATGCTGATCTTGTTGGTAGCAAAGTCGTGGGTGCCTGGCCAATCGATCTGGTGGATCAGGATCTTGTCGAGTCTGATTCCGGACATCCAATTCTTGCTGTCGGCGGGGTGGTAGTCGTAGCCAGGGAATTCGGTGTCGCATTTTCCCTCGAGGTCGCACAGGGTTTGTATCTCGATGGAGATGGCGTTCCGCCGGGCGATTTTCTTTGATGCCTGCGCCCCCATTGTAAGGTAAGATGGACTCTAGGAAGTCTAGCGCAGAAATGAATGTTTGGGAGTGTTGAGGATTAAGGATGGGAAATATAAACAGAGGAGCACAGTGAAAAGTGGGAGCTCCCC